ATGCTTCACTTGTGAAATGCAAGATCGAGCGAAAAAATCACGGTGACGCCTTTTCTCCTTTCCCCTTTTTGTATCCGCGATATATTTTTCATATTTCCTTTTCAACAATTCGGGCTTTTTTTCCATTTATCTTTTTGCGTATGCATTTCAGTAAGAGTCACGTCATTTTAGACCCGCGTTTTAGTTATTACACTGCTTGTGCATGATAATGATCACAATGAGCAGTCTTGCTGATGCAGCTCCCCAATCTCAATGAGATAATGGTTACTTGTCTGGTACTTGGTTGGTGGTGCTCCGAAATATTCCATCTAGGGAATTTAAACTGGAGGTGTGGCAAGGTGCTGCGGCCACTGCCAGAACACCGGGGCGAACCCCTTCTCTTAGCGACAAGTGTTACTGGGTTCTTTAACGTGCATTACACAACACACGGGACCTACGGCTTAACGTCCCATCCGAAGGACGAAGCAATAGTGGTAAAGTGCCTTGCTCAAGAGCACAAGCACCATGTTCCCACGGCCAGGATTCGTGTCACACTTTTTTTCATAAAAAGGGGGCATACGTGTATTCCAAAAGGAAGCTTGTGCGAGCCCTTATGGATTTATGGCACATTTTTTCAAACTCTCAGAAAGACCTATGGACACCTCAACAAGTGAAAAACTGCTCCACTCTACTTATCTCTCCACCCCCCCCCATTGGCCATTAAAATGACAGCCTTTTTAAACTTATCTTGCATATATTGTACACATACAAATTGACAAATAATCGATTTTGAGAGACATTTATGTTTTGATATAAATCTCCATAACTCAAACTTAAAGAGAGTGGGCTCCAATTTGAGATAAGCAGAGTTTTGAGTTAAGCAGGGTTGTATATCACTGTTATAGAAGGGATTTAGTCCTTGTTTGACTTAACAGGAGGTTTGAGTTATCAACAGTTTGACATTTTGAGATTTCACTGTAGTATATTTTGTCCTGACAACAATGTTGACCTCGTTTTATTACACACAAACTGCAATAGCCTTTTTAACTTCAAATTTATTTATCTTCACTTCATTTATAAAAATGATATTAAATGTAGTACTCGGTCATTGGAAATAACGTTTGAAAATGACAAAGTTCAATATTAAGAGTAAAACTTATCAAACTTGGGTGATTAAGTGAATCCTTTATAAGTCACTTGTAATTGGACAATTAATATTAATTGGCATTTAATATCCATGAACTTATTTAGTAATAGAAAAGTGTGAGACTATATTGTCAATAGTTTCAGAATCCAGATCTGGATGGATTACACAAGATTTGTTTCACAGTTTTAAATATGGCATATCACCATAAATGATATGATTGGTGATGTACTTCAAGATTGGATATATCAAAAGGATTTGTAGCCACCGAGTAGAGAAACACATCTTAGGCTGAAACAAGTTTTACTCTTAATATTGCAATTTGTAATTTTCAGACTTTATTTCCAATGATCGAGTACCACATTTCATAATATCATTTTTATAAATGAAGTGAAGATAAACAAATTTAAAGTCAAAAATGCTATTGCAGTTTGTATGTTATAAAACAAGGTCAGCATTGTTGTCAGGACAAAATAAACTACAGTGAAATCTCAACAAGTCAACCTCTGATAAATCAAACCTCCTGTTAAGTCAAACAAAGACTAATTATTCCCTTCAGTTGTATAACAGTGATGTACAACCCTGCTTGACTCAAAAACTCAGCTTAGCTCACATTTTGAGCCCATTCTCTCAAAGTTTGACTTATCGAGATTTCACTGTATATCAAAACATAAATGTCTCATAAAATTTATTATTTGTCCATTTGTACATGTATGTGTACAATATGCCAGATATGTTAACGGCTGCCATTTTAATGGCCAATGGGGGGGGGGGGAGTGGGGTGGAGCAGATTTTCACTTGTTGAGGTGTCCAGAGGTCTTTGTGAGAGTTTGAAAGAATGTGCAATAATCCATATGGGCTCGCACAAGCTTCCTTTTGGAATACACGTATGCCCCCTTTTTATGAAAAAAAGTATGACACGCCCCCCAAATGGGAGCCAAAGAATTTATGAGTTGACATGTAAACGTTTTTTCCTCGCCAAATTATAATGGATTGAAACAAAACAAAAACAAAAACAAAAAAACCTCAAGATTGCATTTTACAGGTTGATTTTCTGTTAGCGACATGTGACCCCCCACTTTTTAAAATGTTGCCCCACCCCCAAAAGAGGCAAAATTGTGGATTTTTTTTTTCTTGTGATGTAGCACTTGGGTGAACTGTCCAAATGCCAAAAAGAAAAGTCAAATTTTTTAAATTATTTTTTGCGCGCGATGCCCCCCACTTTTTAAAATCATGGCCACGCCCACAAAAGGGTCAGAAAAAATAGCATCGAGTGGTTTTGAACTTCTTGAGGTATCCTCTAGTGATCCTGAGAGTTTCAAAGAATGTACCCGAAATTGCATATGGGCCACCACAAGCCCACTGACTAACTGTCGAATTCGGTTCCTGAGCGCAACTTCCTACTTTTTAAAAGTGAACGAAGATAGGCCTACCCCTGAAATTCTTGGAACTTTCACTGACATTGAAACAGATGTGGAAACACTTGCCTGGTTTGAATGGGAAGTTCTGCCGACCGCGAATGACCAAAAACTCACTTGACGTTCACTAAAGTTTCTGTGTTCTAAATTGTGGCGATTAACTCTCAAAATCGACAGCAATTTTCTCCCTAATTCCATTCTCTACAATGTATACAGGGGCATTCGCTCTTAATTTAGCACATACATCATCAAATGTTTCAAGGATTTTCTAGCTGAGGAGCAATGATGATCATTACTTGCAAATACACAGCGTCCACAGTTTTTGATGAGTGCATAATTCCTGACAGAACAAACACGGCAAGATGTTGAATGGATTGCACTGTATATAAAGATTTACTTGTGCGGACATTCAGATGAAAGTACCAACTTCGGTTTACACTTTATTTTCAAATTTCGAGTTTCTAGGACGTATAATAACATTCAAAATGTGCTTGGTCCTTATACTTTTCACCCTCATAATTATACCTTGCATGGATTTGTGTATGTAAATTACTCTATGTCATAAAACATCATTGACAGATAAGAGTCGGGGTAACATGGGGTAAGTTGTTCATAACTTTGGAGCCACCGTTGTACCCCATCCCTGTAGTCCTACCCATGGGGTAGAGAATGGGCACATGTATCACCACACTGTGAAATAGTAAAATCGTGGGACCACTGCTCAATTCTACGTCAGAATCCAGTCGAACGAGAGAAGGAGAGTTCACAGTGACACTCACAGTGTCTGACGATCGGAAGATGAAGCAACTCCAGGTCTCGGGGGACGGATGTTTCAGGATGGAGGGCATCAAGGGCAGAATGCAGTAGGGAAGTGTGTGCAACCTGCAGGGTCATCAGATCAAGGATAGCGGAGGAGTACAGTCACTGATCTCTAGTATAATAGAGATCAGTGAGTATAGAACATGTACGTGATTGTGCTGGGCTGTGTCATGCACATTAGGAGATCAATCCGTCAGCGTGTGTATTGAGAGTGGCTTGCGAGGTTCATGGTTGTGAAGTCGCCAGAAACCATATGGAGATTAGGGGTGAAACGAGGATTTTCTGGTGAGCGGTGATCCATGGGCGTCGCCAGGATTTTTTCTAGAGGGGGGCAAAAAAAAATTTGCCAAAAAATGCTTGTATTTCTCAACACATTCTCGATTTATCAGTTTAAGAGGGGGGGCAGGGACATTTCCCCCCCCCAACTCATTAAATTAACACCACTTTTTCTTCGCGCCTCTTTTTCTTTTTTTTTCTTTCTTTTTTTTTTTCCTTTTTTTTTTTTTTTTTTTTTTTCCGGGGGGGGGGGGGTAAGTGCACCCCTTGCCCCCCCCCCATCGCGACGCCCATGCGGTGATCCTGTCTGTAAAGCTGGAGTCCGAATTCTCGACCAGATGGATGACAAAACACATGTAGCTAAACAAATTTTGAGTCCAAACTAAAATTATTAACACTTACACTAAATAATATAAAAGATCACTGAACGAGGATATATCCAGACAATTTCAAAAGTGTTTTTTTTTTTTGACTCGCGCTGTAGAACTTGATGAGCGGTGCATCTAAACTAGAGCTGCGTGGAGTCAGAATGTCACGTCGCGCACCAGACAACCCAACCCAAATGTCTTCTCTGATTAATAAATGTTTCAAATAAAGACTTGGGCCGTGTCTGACACAGAGCAGATAGATTGGGCAGCTTGGGGCCAAAAGCCAAAGGGGCCTGGGGTTAGTTCATTATAGCTGGTTGAGTCGATTAGACTCGTACCAGTCACTCCACCATCATGTATAAGACCTTTATCATGCTGCCACCATGTTTCCTGTATCTAATAACAGTACTGAATGACAAATAGTTTGGTGCAAAGAGGAACCAGACTATTTTTCCTTTCAGCCTCGTTTTGGTTGCGTTGATTTGAATGGGAAAAAAATCAAGATGGCCGTAACATGCATGATGATGATCTATTGTTTGGGTGCAACTCTGCAAAAAAAAATCCCATGGACACTAGTGCTGAATGCGCATACTTCAAAATTCTTTTTAAAATACTCAGAACTCTCACAGGTATTCAAGCTGTTCGAGATATACTTCGAGATATTCTTACCCAAAGAAGACGACCCCTATTTTCCCCAAAGCGGAAAAGTATAGCCATCTTGAAAATAGCATCCAAAATGCTCAGAATTGGAAGCCCCAGGTCCGGGCCAGAGGTTCATTACCATATCTCTTCAATTCCCCAATTTTATGGCTCTCAAAACTCTCTAATATAGAATATTTTGAGGGTATAGCTTTTATTCATGAGCTCATCGTCGGACGGATTTTTGGCCTATTTACAGGCGTGCACCCGTATGGGTGTTATTTGTTGGTCTGTTCGTGTGTTTAAATTTGTTTCTCCAATCACTTTTTTTCCGTTTGTTTGTATTCGTTCCTCCAGTGAGAGCCGCAACGACCACAGTGCCTCCCGTCTTATCCTGCGGTCCAGACAGTGTTCCCTACGCAGGAGAATGCCTTCATATATTCCATCGTCCCTCCAAGTGGCTGGATGCCGACGCGGTCTGCCAGCATCTGAACGGCGCTCGTTTAGTCACCATCGTCGATCAGGCCATGAATGTAAGACACCATGGGCACTTTATTCCTCCATGATTTCGGGAAAGAGAAATTCCTATTTTTTGCACCTGGTATATGACTTGAATTAGCCCTGACTCCCTGCATTGGTCCAAAGTGTGATCTTTTTCCTGTAACTGTTGCCCTGGTACTTTGTAATTTTCCATTCAACTATCGTTAAGAATGACTGAAGTCAACGACTTTGTTTATTTGTTGGTACTAGTTTCACATTCAAAACCAATTCAAAACCGATTAAAGGAGGCCATCAGAATGATAAAATCATAGATGTCAAGGGAAAGGGAGGGAAAACAAAATTCTCATAGGGAATTAGGGATGCATGTGAATTGTTTTCGTTTTGCTGAAATAACACTTACTTTTTTGGTCATCCGTGGACAGAACTTTAAAACGGTGTTTGTATTTAAATTCCGTAACTTGAAAAGTACATGAGTGATTTGAATGACTCTTGTACTAAAAGAAAGGTCATTGATTGGGATTTCATATCCTAGATTTTGAAAGTGCTACCGGCAAAACTTCATTCAAAAATGGGTCCTGCCATTTGGGTTTCGTTTTTTATTTACTCACCCTGTATTTATTTTCAAATAATATAAAGCCCCAATATAGAAGATTGTGTGTACCATCTATTCCTGCAAAATCCTCAAAACTTCCTGCTGGAATTCAGTGAAAGTATCTTTACATAAAACTTCCAGGACAATATCTGTTTGTTTCTCCAGCATGACCCTTTTGTGATCTGTTCGGCCAGAGCCCCACAAACCTATTGTTATTGTTCCGGTGTTTTGTTAGTGTTTTTTTCCCCGTACAAGTAGTCTCCGTGTCTTTTCTTACACAACGGTACAGTGGATCAACTTAAAACTTAATACGAACATCGACCATGAAGTCAAGATGTGCATAAAAGAGTGACGTCAGAATTTCACCATTCGGGAGCTGTTTGGCTTCGTCTTTTTAAATTCCGTAAAATGACGTACCGTACTTTTTTGTTTAGTAAATAAGAACTTATACTTCCCAAGAAACATCCATTTATAATATTTAGATGGTGCTGACAATATAAACTGACGTCTTGCATTTTGGTTGAAGACTAGAGACAGTGAAATAATTGACACAAGAACATCAAATACTGCTTACTCGCATATGTTCTGATTGGGCATTTCTTGTTTTTTTCTCTACAATGATGTCAGGATTTCTTAGCAGGAATAATCAGAGATGACGTATGGATCGGGCTCCATGACACGCACGAGGAAGGCAGCTGGAGATGGGTCGACGACACCCCCGTCAACTACACGTTAGTTATTTTACTTTACATTATTCTCCTTTTAATTCGTTTGGAAAAGAAAATTGCAATTTTGAAAAAGCACGTATATACTTTACTCGATCGTGTACGAAAATTGCCCCCAAAATAATAAGTACAGTTGTGTTTATGAGCCAAAGAATATTAATTTTAGTTGCATGAACATACTACAATCGGGCCGATTGTGTTTTGATTGTTCCTGTCCTATATCCTTCCTCGTTTGTTATTATGCGGTGTACTGAGTGTGTTTTCCTGCTTAGTTTATGTGCCTGCTAGTTCCATTTCCTGCCTGACCTGCTTGTGTCATAAGGTGCCGTTCAACGCGAGCCGGAGCGTGCGTGAATATCACATTTCTTCGGAAGTATGTGGGCGACTGCCCTCTAGGTCATACCCGGTATAGAAAACAAAGCCGTCCTGTTTGTGGTGTTACATTGTGAAATGGAAAACAAAAGAAGACAATGGATTATATTTACAAGTACCCCCTCAACGGTTACTAAGAGAGAGTTACGTATGTCCGCTATGCGTCTTGCGCCAACCTCGTTCCCCATGTGTACGATCTTGCTGCGCCATCTACCTTGCGCGAGGAACGCGCACGCGCCCGTGGGGGCGAGGCTGGTCTTGCGCTCATGTGCAATCGACCCGGTGCGGGCCCACAAAGCGCCCTCTATAGTCCCCGCTCGTAGCTCATAGACGTTCAGGACAAAAAAAACTATTGAAGATGACACTCCCAAGCATGCTTACCCAAGCATCTGACAATAGCAACAATATATAGTCCGACAAGTAACACTCAATGTATAGATAAATATCTCAAAAAAATCTGAAATAGCATTTAAAGTTCTGCAATATTATGCTGGGTGAAAAAGTACTTGGATCCCAGATATTCATACCTGTTTACCCAAAAATATTCTCGCTCAGCATCAAGGGAAACAGTTATCGTTATGTGTACTCATATAAGCCATATTGTTAACGTTTTTTTACCTAATATGAAGTAGCTTACCAGTATTTTCTTCCGCAACGGTGACCCCGTCTACAGGAACTTCAATTCAGGTGACGGAACGGATCAGCGAGGTGACGCTGACGTTGCCACAGTGTCGCCAGAACACACTACCAACTGCGTCGTGTTACGCAGCGGCACCGGCAAATGGAAAGATGTATCTTGTCACTCGACTAAAGGCAGTATCTGCGCGTTACCCCGTGAGTATCACCTGTAGACCATGCGACATTCCGTAACCGTCACCACGAAATGACCTTAATCCCCGAAAAGTGGAAAACGTGTTTCGAGATGCAAGCGATTTAAGTTGACGATGTTTTGAAACGGTGATCTGAATATCGTTTTAGCCTCATAATTCATGTTTTGTTACATTGTCTGAAAGCTTGGATCTTAAATGACACGTTAATGTATGATATTTATTGAACAACATAACTATCAATGAGTTATCAAACTAATTAATCATATGTACACTTCGTGAAAACTAAAAAATCAGATAACGCTGTGTTCGTGTTTTCACGAAGTGACGCTACCCGTGCCGTTTTGTGCATTAGCTTTGGGCTAAGAAGTGAGTCGCGCATAGTCACGTGACGTGTTTTTTCGTGAAAACGCAAAACCCGTTTTTGACGCGCACGCGCAGTGTGGAGGCAGTTTACACGCGAAAGAATGGTATAGTGCACTTCGTGAAAACGCATTTTCCGGTTTTGTCCCATTAAGTTAAAAACGTTAATTAATGTGAATTAATATTTTGACAAAACCAATTAACTCTGTGTAGGCTTATAGCAACTTTTTAAGGCGATAGATTATGTGTAATTAATCACTAATTGGGAAAAAAAATTGAAATCGCAAGATATCGATTTTTCGATGTTAGTGTCACTTTGTTTGCTATTGATGCTGTGGTCTCGTGATGGCAACTTTCAGTAAATGATTCTCTTCTGCTAAATGTGTCAAGCCAAAAACAGTGGACTTCACCGTTTTTTTGTCGCACACGATAACTTTGTTAAGTTCTGTTGAACTCAACTTGGATTTCACCTTATTTCATATTTATGCTGCATACGTATCCGGTTCGTTAGTGTGACGTCAGTTAAGTTTAAACCACGCCCACTGGCCATTTTAGCATTGGACCATTGGAACCGGAAGCTAACGCAACTTGAGTGTTTATCCAATGAGCGCTAGTATTATCAGTGGTGCGCGCCTTGTATGACGTTTTTACTTACGAACCGGATTGATACTGAAGCACTTGCAAGATATAGGGATTTTACGACTTCGTGGTGGCATTTGCATCAAAGGACGCCATTTGAGTGGTAAAAATGCCCAAAAAGATGTTTAGTCCCAATTTCTAACCGGGTTGATGTTCCCATTTAGGTGGCGAGCCTTTGTGTCCGGACGGAGGGACCTTCTTCCGTGACCGGTGCTACTGGTACAACCTCGTCAATAATTGGGACAATGCCAATAGGGATTGCGAAAACCGGTTCGGGAGCGGGGTGAAACTCGTCATCGTTCGTGATGCCGAGCTCAATGTAAGGCAACCTTCAGTTTGCTTGGTATATAAACGGAGTGTTTTTTCCCCCTGGAAATTATAAATACAGGAAATATTACAGGAATCATTCAAAATCAGATCCTCCCTCCACATTCCCGTCCTGGCGAAGAGTAACATGATCAATATTGCGTTTCTTAGGGTTGGTATTGTTTTCAAGGGCGGATCCGGGGGGGGGTGGCAAAGGGGGCCATGGCCTCCAAAAAACGAATCCAATTTTTTTTTAGTGACTTCGCAAGAAAGGCAGGCGATGAGTACACCGCCATCTTTTCCTCAAAAATCATTGGTTAAACTGGTCAGAAATTACTTCAGATCGCACCACAGAGCATCTAGAATCCACAATTTTTTAGGGGCCCTTAAGCGGGCCCCGAACCCCACGCCGTAATCTTTTTGGACACACTTTTTGGGTACTAAATTTTTTTGGGGCCCCAAAAATTGTGTTCTGGATCTGCCCTTGATTGTTTTTAAGTAACATTTTATGTGTTCTCCTCTTTTATTTAAATACAAAATCATTGACCTATCGATTGGAGACCACAGTTATGAAATCTGCACTTTCTTTATACCCAACCAGGCGTTTTTGTCCAGACACGTGCATCCCACGGTGTGGCTGGGACTGCGTTACAATCACGGCGACGATACATGGCGATGGGTGGATGGAAGTCCTCTGGATCACAATGGGTAGGTATGAGAATAGAAACAGCCTAGCGGGGGAATTAGACTAGAGTTTCATTGAACTGTATTAGTCTTCAGATTATTTTTGCTCAGAAGGAGGCATATTGGCATTCGAAGATGTTGGATTTTTACGATGCCAAAGTATCTTCAGTGTATACTACTCGTCCGGTTTGCATTTTTGCCCTGCACTCTTTGCAGTGTACCCTCTTCTTTTTCTCTCTAAAGGTACGAGAGATGGAGTGACGGAGAACTCGAAAACATGCAAAACGGTCGAGACTGCGCAGTCCTGAACCACAACGATGTGAACGGCGGACACTGGTCGCGAAGCTACTGCACGCCGTATACACGCACTGTGTGTGCCTTGCAGAGTAAGAGCGCCACCGACAATCTTTATCATCTTTCAGGCTAGGGCCGTCTTGTACTGCTACACCTAGTACCTCACAATAGGCGGTGTCCAAATAACTTGGCTTCCGCTTAAATTACACAGTGCCGAGTTTATGGGAAGTGATTGCCGCTACCGTAGACACGTGTATAATTTCAAGCCGTATAGCCAAGTAGTCAGACATAATGGCCTCAAATCAAGCTTTTGATTGGCTAATATGCCTGTATACTTTTTTTTTTTTTTTTTGAAAATGAGGCCCTGCAACTACCAACGACACTATTTTGGGGGAAAATGGAATTGGATCCAAGGTTATTGACGCAAGGTTTACATATTGCTAATTGAAAATTACATTTTAATATAATATTTGTATATTTCTAGCTTGAATTCGAGTTCTGGGGAAAACTACAGCGCCCTCGTCGGTCAACAAAATGTGCGATTGCGCGTCCCTGTGGCACGTGCAGTGCCTGTTCCTGCATTATGAATATTTAAATGAGTTGCTTTCGTCTTAGAGGTCACTAGAAGACGCACTAACCTTTTTATCTGCCATTATATGCGAGCTGAGTGAGATATCGGGTTGGTTCTGGGCTTTCTTTACATAAAAATATGCAAAAGTAAACTAAAATGAAAGTTTTACCGGTGTTTTTCTCCCCTGTTTCCCCCAGCGTGCTACGACGGGCCAGGCGGTGGTTCCGGAGCCGGGAACGGCGATACCGATTCACCAGACGAGGAACCAAATTGCTTGGACTTCGGAGACCAACCAAAGTGCTCCTGTGTTTCCAATGCGCTCTGCAGGCTCACTGGAAAATGTCATTGCGATCCGCTCTTCGATGGCATGAAGTGCGACAAAGGTGGGGTTATTTTTATTTCTTGATCTGCTCAAAACTAAATGTATTTTTGTCATCAAATGGGAGCTTTCTTGACAAAAATAAAAATGTACGCTGCTGCACAATATTTTGCAGGTCAATAGATTGGGCTTTGAAGTGACAATGTGTACGCCGACGAAAAGAAACACGTTTTATTTCTGCATTTTGTATTAATGCAGCTGTCCTACATTATAAACTTTCCTTTTTTCTGCATGATGAAATTTCTGCGTTGGGCAGAAGTCTGTTTTACTGTATAGCAAGAGGTCGTGGGTTCGAGTCCCATCCGAGTTTGCTTCTTGGGCGAGTTTCGGACAGCACCGAGTTTGTCACGAACGAAATCACGCCAGTGAAAGGCAAAATCAAATATACAATTTGCTTGTAATTTCAACTTCCTGAAGAAATTCCTCTGTTTCTGTCATAACCATGAGCCGACGTAGTCCACAGAGCGGTCAAAGCATAACGGTCAAATGGGTGGTTTTTACCCCCTTTGAATTTCAGACGAGTTGACGGTGACGATCCACGCACCCAGACGCGTGGAACGCGGGGCCAACGTCACCATGCGCTGTCACGTCAACCTGCCTTCCACCGACGTCACGGTATTATGGCGGAAGGTCAGCGGTACGGAGATGCTCCCGGAGGGCAGGACCCGCTTGCAAGACCGACCCGAGGTAGGAGACTACGACCTCATCATTGAGAACCTACAGGAGAACGACACGGGGTCCTACGTGTGCGCTGCTACCACCGTGATCGGGCAGATCGGCGAATCGGAGATGGATAGCACCTATCTCCACGTAGCAGGCAAGTGGACAGAGAATCCTACAAATACATTACTATTCTTTCCAGTGTTGTAGTCGAATCCATCACAAGTCCCCGCAAGTTCATCACAAGTCCTTCACTCTTCATGTCACAACTCACAAGGTATTCAAATGAATTGTAACATTGAGGCATTCCTTTGTTATTGTTAACACTCAGTTAATTGTGACTGGACTTGTGAAAGGACGTGTGATTTACTGTTATGAAAGTATTTGTGATGGACTTGACTACTACATTGCCATATTTAATTTATAACAGTCGCCGTTCTTCAAATTAGAACACAATGTCAAAATGAAATTATGTTTCTATTTACCTATAAAAAACCCCACACCGTTAGTCGCTCCTGTCCAAGGCATTTGGGACATCTGATTAAAGTTGCAGACAAGTCCTGATAACTCAACTACCAGACTTCATTTGGTCTCAAGTTAAGTGAAAACTCTTCGAGAAAGACTGTGAGAAAGGTATTCCTTTGTCATTCTCGCATCCCATAAATCATTTGACTTGACTTGTGATATGACTTGTCACTGTCGAATTATTGTTAAATGACAACTCTGTCAAAACTTAATTTACAAATACGAAAAGCGAATGAGCTTATAATAGCCTTTCAGTGGGTCATGGCAAACTTGTTGCTCCATTGCTGAAATGGATGTAATGCTTTCCAGAAAGTTCAACACACACACTGAATAACACAACTCAGCCTCTAAAGGAAAAATCTAATAAACTCAAAATTTAGTTTTTCAATCATGTCTTGTTGATCAATGATCATCATTATTTCATTTTGTGATGTCAAACACAGTGCCAGATGTTCCAACGCCACTGACGCCAGGCAAGGTTTATGAAGGTAGTTGAGTTTGATCATATTCAATAATCCTTCCATAAGCTGATTTCAGTTAAGCAAAATATTAAAATATTTCCAATGCTTCCCAAACACTGGAATGTATACCTGTGACGCTAATACGTTTACAAAAAAAGCAAAAATGAAACTTAATTTAAATGTATTGCGAAGAGCACAACAATGACAGTCTCGGTCGACAATGACAACAATTAATTATTCCTCCACAGGGAAATTAAAAATGCTTTACATATTGTCATGCCGAACTACCTTAGCAAGCGTTCAAAAAGGTTTCTAGGCTGTTGCTAAAGACGTAGAATGTTCGAAGTTTAGTGTTATCTTCAAGGCCACTTTCTGCATATAACATGTTGCATTCTTTTCGTGACAGGAAACAACGAAGGATTGTCTTCCAGGGAAACAGGTACGTATATTTTTTATTGATATTATTCCTTTTTTTACAGAAAAGACTGTATTTATTGATTGATATAGTTTGATAGAATTTTGTCTTTCTACTTTGCAAAAAGAAAATCACAAACGAGTTGGGTGCTGAACAGTGAACCAACTGGTTCAAAAGTCAAGATGCTCCATAATAAGCTTAACATAAGTTTTCCCGGCTATTTTAAAAGATTTTTTATTCAAATTCACCAACTCCAACATTCAATTTCGTCCACGAAAAATTTCAAACGCTTTTATAAAACCGATTTAGTCATTTACCATTCAATTTTGAAGCTTGGTCACCCTCTTTAGTCACCGGGTCGAGAATATTCGTCAGTGCAGATCAAATTCTTCTTAGCTGTTGCCGAATGTGCAGCATTCCGAGATGGAATTCGTCTTATATAAATCAATTTGATTTCTGAATAACAAGGTTTTGCGTAGATGAGACGAAATCGAATACTCCGGGACAAAAACGTGTGCTCACAGTTTGAATTTGCTTGAACTGAATTTGAAATTGTCCGACAAAAGACGAAATTAAACATTGAAAGTGCACTAAATCGATGTTGTTGGACGAATTTGAAAGTAAGAATCGGTGAATTGGAATGATAAACTTTCGAAATAGCCGGGAAAACCTATATTAACAACGATAACAAGTTTTTAAAAATATAGCAGAATTCATACAATATAAAGGTTATATTTTATTATGAGCATGCGCATGACAAGTAAGTCTGCTGCCACCAAGTGTTTGGATTAACGTCTTCCATTTGGATTTTCATTTTCTATAAGGGTTGATCGTTGCAGTAGGGCTCCTCAGTGTCTGCTTCGTATGTCTACTAATTGCGTTCATCGCAGTCCAGGTTGGTATAGAGTATTCCAATACAATCTTCAATTTACCAGTTTTGTAGTTGGTAGTTGGTTGGGCCAACCAAAAGAAGCCAAGTCGATAAGAAAAAGTGGTCCAGTGCTTACAATGTACATAGACATGGTTCCTTGTCGGGCAGTAAACACAATAGTCAGTCTTTAGAATCTACCTGCCACATAAGGAAAATGCTACGGAGTTTAAAATTTCAATAGGAACAAAAGGGGAACAAAAGAAGTGAAACAAACGTCTTCCCCCACAGGAACAGGTATGTAAGGCTGAGTGAATTAGGCTTGAATATTCAAGTAGGCTTATTTGAGGATTTAATGCAATTTCGTAACGTAAAGATGATTCTGTCACATGTTATCTTGTTCCACAACTGGCTTCGGTACAAAATATATTGCTTTGGGCTACAGAAACTAAAACGCCATTCTCTTCTCTACAGGTGCGCCATGCCTTTACCCAGCGACACACCCGTCGCCCAAGCGACATGCTGATGTGAGTGCTAGACGCGAAGGATACTTAAATTTGAAGAGGAATATTATTTGAAACTGGGGTAAATATTGGAAAGGGAAGAATCAGATTTCATTTAGGCTACCAGAAAGTTGGTTTTTGCCAAATAGGGACTTTAATAAAAAAAAAAGAAGTAAAACAAAACAATAATGCCGAGAGGTTAATGCTATTTTAAAACGTTTATGTTCCAATTCACCGTTTCTAGTATTCAAATTCGTCCATCAACATCGATTTAGTGCACTTCCAATGTTTAATGTCGTCTTTTGTCAGACAATTTCAAATTCAGTTCAAGCAAATTCAAACACGTTTTCGTCCCAGAGTTTTCGATTTCGTCACGTCTACGCCAAACCTTGTTATTCAGAAATCAAATTTCTCTAATTGATTCACATCAGACGAATTCGATCTCTGAATGCTGCCATTCGGCCACAGCTTAGACGAATTTGATCTGTAATGACGAATATTCTCGACCTTGTGACTAAAGAGGGTGACCAAACTTTGAAAATGAATGGTAAATGACAACATTGGTTTTGTTAAAAGCGTGTGAAATGTTTCTCGGACGACATTGAATGTTGGACTTGGTGAATTTGAAAAAAATATTTTAAAATAGCCGGAAAAACCTATGGGCCTTATTCACGAGTCGGCCATATTGGATTGAAAGCGAGGTAAGATCTTCATTTTTGGAACTTGTGTAGAGAAATGAAAGCAATGACGTTACAAATTCATACCAGTCTGCTCTGATGAATATTTAAAAATGTGTGATTAAACATACTCTAATGTTTTAAGCCACATTAAAAAAAAATGAAAGTGAGGCTATAGTGAGTCTGGCACCATCCCATTCAACATTTCACAGTTTATGAAATACATTCAGGGAACACGACAAAAATGGCTAACTTGTGCATAAGGCCCATAGCTTAGGCCCAAATAATATAATAGTTCTGCTTCCAGTTACCCTACCTATCCTATTTTGACAGCCTCTTCCCTATTAGGTTTTTCGAGAAAGAAGAAAAGAAATAAACCCAAAACCATCAATTACAATGTACTACCTTTTACCTTTGACTACACGCAGACACCTACATTATGATCAACACAATTTTTTTCTTCAAATGCCACGTCATCGGAAGCAGAAGTATTTTTAGCTGTTTCGGCAACTGCCGAAACAGCTATTGTTTTCGTTAAGATTTTTTTTTTTTTTTTTTTTTAGCTGTTTCGGTGACACACCGAAACAGCTCTTGTTTTCGTTAAGATTTTTTTTTTTCTTTTTTTTTTTTTTTTTTTCTTTTTTTTTTTTCTCCTTTTTCAGACTTTTTCTCCATAGGTTTAACACACGTTTCTTCCACCAGTCCACTTTGCCACTTTTTCAAATCCGATTGATTCGAGACTTGATACATACTTAGACCACCACCCACAGATGGTCCTAGAAGAAATTTGTGACGGTGACGTCATCAGGTGTCGGGTTACGTCACATTAAAGATGCATTTTTCCCCATATGTTTTGTACACGTTTTAAAACACTCCAGTTTGGCATCTTCGTAAATCCGATCGACTTTAAACTTGATTCATACTTAGAACACCACCCACAGATGGTTCTAGACGAAATTCGTGATCGTGACGTCATCAAGTGTCAGGTTACGTCACATTAAAGATGCATTTTTCCCCATAGGGTTTGTACATGTGTTAAAACGCTTCATTTCGGCACTATTGTAAATCCGATCGACGTTACACTTGGTACACACTTAGACCATTACCCACAAATGGTCCTTGAAGAAATTCGTGATCGTGACGTCATCAGGTGTCACGTTACTTCACATTAAAGATGCACATTTTCCCCATATGTTTTGTTCACGTTTTAAAACACTCCACCTTGGCACCTTCATAAATGCGATCGACCTCAGACTTAATACATACTTAGACCACCACCCAAAGATGGTCCTAGAAGAAATGTGTGATCGTGACGTCATCAGGTGTTGGGTTACGTCACATTAAAGATGCATTTTTCCCCATAGGGTTTGTACACGTTTTAAAACATTCTACTTTGGCACTTTTGTAAATCCGATCCACGTTAGACTTGGTACACACTTAGACTACCACCCACAGATGGTCCTAGAAGAAATTCGTGATTGTGACATCATCAGGTGTAAGGTTACTTCACATTAAAGATGCATTTTTCCCCGTAGGTTTTGTACACTTTTTTCTTCAAATCATACTTTGGCACTATATGTCTGATTGACTTTTCACTTGGCAGATGACATTCGAAGTGACTTCATCAAGTGTTCATCATGTGCACAGAGTATTTTAAATATCCGAAACAGCTTGTGTTTGTCCACAAACACATTTCTAGTTTTTTTTTTTTCTCCTTTTTCAGCCTTTTTCTCCATAGGTTTAACACACGTTTCTTCCACCAGTCCACTTTGCCACTTTTTCAAATCCGATTGATTTCAGACTTGATACATACTTAGACTACCACCCACAGATGGTCCTAGAAGAAATTCGTGACCATGACGTCATCAGGTGTCGGGTTACGTCACATTAAAGATGCATTTTTCCCCATATGTTTTGTACACGTTTTAAAACACTCCACTTTGGCCTCTTCGTAAATCCGATCGACCTCAGACTTGATACATACTTAGACCACCACCCACAGATGGTCCTAGAAGAAATTTGTGATCGTGACGTCATCAGGTGTTGGGTTACGTCACATTAAAGATGCATTTTTCCCCATAGGGTTTGTACACGTTATAAAACACTCCACTTTGGCACTTTTGTTAATCCGATCGACCTCAGACTTAATACATACTTAGACCACCACCCACAGATGGTCTTAGAAGAAATTTGTGATCATGACGTCATCAGGTGTTGGGTTATGTCACATTAAAGATGCATTTTTCCCCATAGGGTTTGTACACGTTTTAAAACATTCTACTTTGGCACTTTTGTAAATCCGATCGACGTTAGACTTGGCACACACTAAGACTACCACCCAAAGATGATTCTAGAAGAAATTCGTGATCGTGACATCATCAGGTGGTAAGGTTACTTCACATTAAAGATGCATTTTCCCCGTAGGTTTTGTACACGTTTTTCTTCAAATAATACTTTGGCACTATATGTCTGATTGACTTTTCACTTGGCAGATGACATTCGAAGTGACTTCATCAAGTGTTCATCATTTGCACAGAGTATTTCAAATATCCGAAACAGCTTGTGTTTGTCCACAAACACATTTCTAGTTCTTTTTGGCCTTGTTTTATTAAGTGTATGTAACTCGTTCTTTTTACGCTTTTTAAGTCTCTGTAAAAAAAAAAGAGTTCGACGCGACTATGGCACGTAGGTCACGTTTCCTGAACTATTGTAGGTTATGTTTTTGTAATTATATCCGGTGTATATAGTTGTTATTGAAGCAAAAGGATACGTTAAGTCCCATGCGACATCGTGTCATGGCACAGGATTGGGTGGGAAGGGTTGAAATAGGAATGGGATAGGGGGTGGCGATGGGTATATAGGGGGAGGGTCTGGGAATAGGGCTGTGACTGGATGGGGGTAGAGATTAGAAGGGGTGTGTTGGGCGTGCACTGAAGACCATCTTAAAGTATATTAAATTGCCTCTGTTGAAGAGCCAAAGATCCTAACGTTCACCCACATAAATATACAGTACTTCCATCCTGCTTGTTAAAGGGAATATACAACATTTGCAAACATCAACAAATAAAACTACCACGTTTTCACGAAAAACCTCACTAGGATGTTGGTTAATGACAGTCTAAAGCATCCTGTAAATTTATGGCACCTGGTGTGAAGTCATTTTCAAGAAAATGGTATTTTTGTATAAATTTCCAACCGTGGTCGGCCGACCACCGTTGGAAAAACCCAATTATTTTTCAACTACTGCTCCAAATTTACCATTTTTTCAGTCCAAATTTTGTTTGCTATTGGTTACATGTTCCCGGAACGGGTGCAGGCCAGCTAGACTGGTTCCCTTACCGTACAATTTTCCGGCATCTATAAATTGATCCATTTCTTCTTTAGTGGAGTCAAGGAACCAGACTACTTGAAAATTTTTGTTTTTCTTCGCTTTTCCAGCATTTTCGAACACAAAACTTCAAACATGTCAGTGTAACAAAATTTGATCTATTATACTTACCCCTCAAATAGTTCATTTTTGAAAATTACAGCAAAAGCCAATGATGTACATTCCCTTTAAATGCGGAATTTGTGCCAAGTAATGAATTACATTTTTTGGTGAACTCCTTATATGGAAAATAATTTAGTGTAAAATGCGTTCTTTTCATGCTTTTTAAGTCTCTGTTTATAATGAGCTTAGCACAGCTGTTGCACGTATAGTCAAGTTTCATCAATTGTAGGTAAAAGCTTTTGCTTGCATATCGGCTGTATATAATTGTTATTGAAGCAAAAGGATAAGTTAAGCGACCATCCTCAGTCTTTCGAAGTAAGTATCGTGCTTTTAGAATATTAAGCTTTGCACATGTTTTTGTGACGTCAGTGAGTGTATGTACTTACTGACGCACTTGTATCACGCTACTACTTTGCAAGAAGTTCAAAAGCGGTAAACAGTGTATCAGGGGATTTCGGTTTTGTGCCTTTTTTAAATTCAACTTTTTTTTTCGAGTCGGGGACTTAGAATCATGAAGCTGATGTAGTCTGTGCTCAAGCCGGCGACAGGACCATTTTAGGTTTTTTTTGACGCACTTGTATCACGCTACTACTTTGCAAGAAGTTCAAAAGCGGTATACAGTGTATCAGGGGTTTTCGGTTTTGTGCCTTTTTTAAATTCAATTTTTTTTTCGAGTCGGGGACTTAGAATCATGAAGCTGATGTAGTCTGTGCTCAAGCCGGCGACAGAGCCATTTTAGGTTTTTTTTGTGGCGGCAACAATAGGAGGTATATTGGTTTGGGGTTTTGAAATGATGTTGTCCACAATAACAGGGCGCTATTGGATTTAGGTTTGCTATTTTGTAATTATCGTAGACATAATATAGACCAAGGGCGGATCCAGGGGGGGGGGGCCAAAGGGGGCCATGGCCCCCCCCCAAACGAAACCAACTTTTTTTTTTTTTATGTGACATCGCAATAAAGGCAGGCAATGAGTACACCACCATCTTTTCCTCAAAAAACATTGGTTAAAGTGGTCAGAAATTGCCTCAGATCGCACCAGAGAGCATCTAGAATCCAAAAAAAA